CACACACACACACACACACACACACACACACACACACACACACCTGACCTTCAAATTTGACATGATCCTTGTACTTTTGCTTTAGATTTATATCTTTCATTTTCCGACCAACGCAATATGTTTTATTTTATTGCCCCTGTTGGAAAACTTAAATTGTCATCTTTGTTATTTTTTATTATTTTTCAGGACACAATAAAAACCACATCGATTAAAAAACTGACTTAATTTCTGAGATGTGTATTTCTTTTTCTGGTCATTTTGTTTGAACTGTAAGAACATAGCACAGATCTTACTAATGTATAATAACAATATTGTAACACTTAAAGGGCTCCAGATTAATTTAACATTACATATCCAGGTCCTAAAAAAATTTTTTTTTTCAAAATAACAAACAAAAAAAATGTAAAGACATTTTAGATTATACAGTGTAAGACCTTCCGTACAGCAGTTTTTAAACAAAATTATGAATTTTATTTATTTAATTTTATAAAAGTTTCACTAAAAAATATTAACCAGCATGCATAAAAAAAAGGGACATGAATCCAGCTTGAGCGCTGCATGCGGAGAAAAAAATAGGAAGTGACGTTGACGTATCATTCTGCGGAACTTCCGGCTTTCACGTGCGTTTACTAAAGTGTGCAACGTACTGGTAGCCGAAGCAATTTGTTAACAGCAGTTTATTTCCATTAGCTCTTTGTGTATCAAAAAATAATGGGGAAGTTAAACGTGGTGATGCTGAGATATTTATCTCGAGATGACTTCCGGGTCCTCACTGCTGTAAGTACCGAGCTAACTGACCGTTTGAGTCCCAGCACGGGTTAGCCTGATCGGGTTAGCTGGTCCGGTTGTCAGCCTTACCTTACCCAGCCTGAGCTACATATACTTTACCTAAAATGTTCTGTCAGCAGTTTAATGACAAGAGGGACAACACTGCCAACTAACATACAGTACTGTTGTTAGTAATAACTTTTGTTGACACGACGAAAAAGTTTTTATTTGTTTCACGTGTTTAAGTGATGTATAATACAAAAAATAAAACTTTATTTATAAAGCACTTGAAAAACAACATTGTTCGAAGTTCTGTACACTAAAATAAAATAAAACCATACGTGGCTAAATTATTCTGTCATTATTATTTCTGATGGGTTAACCTACAATAAATTATAATATCTACATCCATGAATAGAGGGAATGCATATGTGTCAGAAACTGTTATTAGTCTCTCACCAGTTTATGTTTTCACTTAGTGGCAGTATTTATTTATTTTCTAAATTGACGTTAATGTTCCCTTGTACAGGTTGAGATGGGGATGAAGAACCATGAGATAGTCCCAGTCAGCCTCCTGTCATCCATCGCCAGCCTCAGACACGGTGGCTGCAACAAGATCCTCAGAGAACTGGTGAAACACAAACTTGTGGTATATGAACGTACAAAAAGTAAGGGTGGGCATTTTGTCACACACTGAGATGGTGTACAGGACCGTTTTCTGATGTGCCTTGTGTTGGTTTTAGCTGTGCAGGGCTACAGGTTGAACTACGGAGGATATGACTACCTGGCTCTGAAAACGTTGTGCTCCAGAGAAGTCATATTGTCAGTTGGCAACCAGATGGGTGTGGGCAAGGAGTCGGGTAAGAAAATAAACTCCCATTATAAAAATATTATGTGAAATCGCAATGATGTTCTTCTGGTTAGCATTTAGTAAATCCGGATTGGCAACTGTTTACAAAATACGGGTCCTGCAAGCTGTGTCCATCATACAAGTTTATTTTTATACTACTGCTAGTCCTGGGGTTGAAACGCTAACACATACAGAGTATATACTTATTGTGCCTAAACAAGCACTATAGAACAGTAAAATGAACTGGTTTGCGTAATCTGACCTAAGTAAATAAAATGACTGGAAGTTTTATTGCCACACATCAGAGCGCGTGTGTGTGTGTGCAGATGGCTAAAGTAAACAATGACAATGAGCTTTCGTTTTATGATACAAATGTTCTGTTCGCTKTGCAGATATATATATAGTTGCCAGTCCAAATGAGGAGCAGTAYGCTCTGAAGCTACACAGGCTGGGTCGTACCTCCTTCAGGAACCTAAAAAATAAGAGGGATTACCACAAACACAGAAAGAACATGTCCTGGCTTTACCTCTCACGCCTCTCTGCCATGAAGGAGTTTGCTTACATGAAGGTAATGAGTCCGTCAACAGGAAGTGGGAAAATAGCAAAAACATTGCCAACAATGAAGAAGCTGTGAAACGGCCATCATTTTGTGTTAGTTTTAAGTCGTCTCCTCACTCTTCCCAGGCTCTGTATGATCGAGGCTTTCCTGTTCCCAAACCTGTGGACTATAACAGACACGCTGTAGTGATGGAGCTCATCAATGGATATCCTCTGTATGTAAATAATACTGCATGGTACACGCCACTGTGTTTTCCCTCCCCTCGTTCACRTGCGTTATCCTTCTCCTGCAGGTGTCAGGTTCATGAGTTGCAGGATCCAGCTGCTCTGTACAGTGAGTTCATGGACCTCATTGTCAAGCTGGCCAACCACGGCCTGATTCATGGAGACTTTAACGAGTTCAACCTGATGCTGGATGACCAGGACCACATAACTATGATTGATTTTCCTCAGATGGTGTCTACATCACACCCTAATGCTGAATGGTGGGTTTGTCTTCAATTTCAGAGTTCCAGTTAACGTAAAACAGTTTTCTCACCTCATCCATCTTTTTCTGCAGGTACTTTGACCGAGATGTGAAGTGCATCAGAGATTTTTTTGCAAGGAGATTTAATTACGAAAGTGAGCTCTTTCCAACTTTCAAAGACATCAGGTATCTGCTTATATTTTACAGGTTTAAAGCCAGTACCTAAATGTGCACMGTGAACCTGCTCAAACTATGTTGTTTATGAGGTTTTTAGTTTTAACAAGAGCTGTTTTCTCYGTTGGTTCCCACAGGCGCTCTTATTCTCTAGACATCGATGTGTCAGCCAGTGGATTCACAAAAGAGCTAAAGACAGATGTTGCATTACTAGACCCAGCTGGACCTGAGCAAGAAAATGATGAAGAGGAAGATGACGGAGAGGCTACAGACGAGGAGGCAGAAAGTGTCSAGGACAGTCTGGACATAGAGGAATATAACCAAGTAATGCTGGAACTGGAGGGATTGAAAGTCAGTGAATCCTCTGCAAAGGTACAAGATCGGGAGGAGGAAATCAGTAATGAAACACAAGAAGTAACTGAGGCGACGTCCACTGCTGAAGCCCAGGACGAAACCGGGACGGGGTTTGAGGAAGAGTTGAAGGAAGAAGAGGACGAGTGCCCAGAGCTGACAGACCTTTCCGCTTCCAACAAGGAGTTTAAACCTTTCAGGTAAACTCACAATGATGACACAATAAACCTCCAACATACCAGTTTCTTTTCTTTTTTTAAATAAAACTTAAAAAAAAATTTAATTTTGGGAAATAATAAAACTTGAATCATTAAGGCCTAATTTGTTCTTAACATACTCTAGTTACCCTTCTTTACAAAACACATGAAATATTTTAATACTACAAGCTTTATCCATRAGACAAAACGAGCTAAAACAACTTCCTAAAACCTGACGTGATCTTACTAGGTCTCCTTTTTGGAGCGGGCAATAAARCAATCAGTAAATTAGATAGTTAGTACATTTATGTTGATTTTGTTGATTAGCATCCAGTCAATTCTCCATAAAAAGCTCATCCCTCAGGATAAAGCAGGGCTACAGGAACAAATGGTTTAACTGTTTTAAGGCCTTTGCTTTCAAATGTGATACCAGTTATTACCACCGAGCATCATTAAAGCTAGCAGTTTGCCACCATTTTAACACATATATAGCATCATAAACAGTAATAACAGAGCGCAAATTCCACTTACCGTATATTTAATAACATATTAGCTGTGGTTTTATTTAGGTGCATTGCATTGTGGACAACTTTGGAAACTAGATGTTGGGATGAGATTTTGACTTGGATAAGTCAAAATCGTTAGGTTGACCTTTCCAGATAGTTTGTCTGTTCTCCCCATGCATGCGTGGTTTTTCTCCGGGCACTCCAGTTTCTTCCCACAGACCAAAAACATGACTGTCAGGTGAACTGGTAACTAAATCGTCATTAGGAGTGAGTGAGAGCGTGAATGGTTGTTTGTCTCTATGTGGCCCTGACTTTGGACCTGTCCAGGCAGGGTGTCCCCCGCCTCTCGCACTGTGACTGCTGGTTGTGGGGACCAGTGAGTCCCGTGACCCTGAAATGATGAAGTAGGTTAAAATGATGGACGGTTGAGGAAATTTAAAATTTGTGAACAAGACAAAATATATTTGTGTCATAATATCAATTTGATGTTCTTCTACTGCAGAGACTCGGACAGTCTTCAGCAGATTGCAGAACATAGAAGAAGAAGAACAGACAGCGAAGCCACAATGGGCAGCATCGGGAGCTGCTCCACCATACCAGTTGTAAGCATCGGCTCACACCGTTGTTTATAGGTGTGGACACGAGACCAGGCTGTAATAATATATCCTTTTAAAGAAAGCACTAATTTACCTGGAAACAATGGGCCTCATGCAAGAACCGTT